AGGCAAACTCACGTTTGCTAGAGTTAAAATTAGCTCCATTTATTTATTGCTCGTGTGTGACCCAGCAGGACAAGGACCAGACAGTATTTTGGATTTAAAACGTGTTTTTACAGAGCAGCTGTCATTTTCAAATCTCATCTGCTTCCGTTGTGTTCTGACCCAGTCCCATGAATTCCTACTCATGGGAGCAGCCTTTGATCAAATTTTCCCCTTAGAAAAGTGAACTCCAGAGAACAACACAGAAATGAAGACCTGTCCCGCAATGAACCTGTAAAGCTCCAAGCCTATGGTACTATTTTTGCCTTTAAAAGTCTCCGTTCCAGATCAGTCAGATAATATTTGCAACAAAGTCTTACGGAGTCCAACGGCAAGGGGTGAAAGAGGAAGGAAAAAGGAAATCACGGGGAGAGGCAACGGCAGAGCTACAGGGGACGACGAGCAGATCAAGGACTACCAGCAGCGGGATGGGTGTCAGGGGAAAAGGCCCTGGGTTTGTTTGTTTGTTTTTTTTTAAACGTCTCCTTGGTTTACCAGCACATCAATTATAATCTATGACACCGAATTACTCATTTCTCTTGGTTTAAACGGCTTATGCGCAGGTTATATGCACGCAAATACAGCGGGGTCGGAATCCCTCAGCCAGCCGGCTCGGAGGGAGAAGCTAGGGAGAGCGAGCGACTAAGCGGTTGCTTTTAGTTCTGCCTCGGGTTGAAATTCAAGGAAAAGCATTCGGGCCATGTGCATTTGATCATACATGACCTTTATTGGAGACGGGTGGGGTCATTTATTATACAGAAGTAACATCACACCATTCTCTTCCAATTTAATTCCTTTTAGTCTCCTTATAAATCTGTAGCAAAAGTGCACTTTTAACAGTTTTTAATCTATAGTATATATCTTTCAATATTATCTCTCAGTCAGGTATTTTATTTGTAAAAATGTATCGCCAGATATACAAAATACATGTCTAGTGTACTACATTAATTTTTGTATTTACTGTTTAGATTATTTTTAACTCAGTGCTCTCTTTTTATTTTTTTTGCAAGACTTAGTGATGACAGGCTTCTGGTAGCGCCACCAGGAGAGGACTCACAGCTTGTGTGTGAACAAGGGGAGAAGACTCTTAGCCAGGAACAATTGTCACACAATAGGAACGAGATGACAAAAACGTTTGCTGTTATTGAATATGTCTCTTAAAATGACAGTACTCTGTATAATAAAAAATAATTAAAAAACCCAATGTCCGTATTTTATCTTCTGGAAGAGGAGATGTGCCGGGAGAACGGAACCTGTACCCAGCTGGAACACAATGGTAATGATTAATTTGCGTTTTGAAGACAGGAGTTAATTGCTAACATTACATTTCTGGTCATGATAAGAAGAAACAGATACATACAGCCACCACAAGAAACTGTTTGTGAAATGCTGTTTTCCTGAGGACAATATTTTGGTAAAATATTTTATATCCTGTACAAGCCACAGAATTGCATAAGTTAAATGTCCTCAAGAACAACAATCACCGGCATATACCGTGAACGGCTGTGCTGGGAGCAACCACACAGAGGACAGCTCTTGTGTCACCTAACAAGATGAAGAAAGGAAAATAGTCATTTCCACTGGTAGTTTAGAGCCAGCTGCGACAAGCTTTGGCACGGCAACAGGACTTTTCAAAAAGAAAATTACAGGAGATTTTCTGAGATTTCTTACAAACTGCCTTAGTCTTTTCTTTCTAGTTATCCTTGAGATTATAATATATACACACGTAACGGATAATTACTTAATTTCAGTCTTCAAAAGACTAACAATTTCCCCTGTTAAGCAAGGCCTATAGAGGTAAAACAATCAGAAGCATTTTTAGGGGGGTGTTATGATTCCCAGATCGATACAAACATTACCAACGGATGACGAGGAACACTTAGCTAGGTAATGTCTGGGTTGGTTGGTTGGTTGGTTTTCCTTCTTACTTGTTCATTATCTTGAAGACTAAGAACAACTGGATTAGTTACATAAATAATGCTTCCCTTGGTTAACCCTTCACAATTAGTGCTGTTTCTGTGTATTAGCATAGATTCAAAATGCTAGTTGCATCAGTTTGCTACGTATTGAACGAAATGTTGAACAGATCCTGTTTCAGAATGAGGGCACTTTTGGTTTACGCAATAGCTCCAAGAAATGCTGTAACGTCAAACTTTCTACAGCGACTGGTTGCCAGACATAGTCTTCCAAAGGTAACTGCTCTTCTGCTCCCCTTAAATCTGCAGCAATGTGGCTCTGAGTCAAAACTTCTGCTTCAAAGGAAAAACGCACAACAGACTAGCCTGAATATGGACAAAGTTCTATACCTTCTGAAGAAACAGAACAGTAAAAATAAAAATATAAAGAGAAGCAGTGCTGTTAGTGTTATCTAAAACCAAGATAATGCATAATGGGGAAATTTACAATGCTGCAGAGAGAGTTTTTTTGTCTGTTTTTTTTTTTTTATAAAAATTACAGACTTGACATTTCCAATATGTCTTAGCTTTGTACTGCTTCTCAAGTCTGAGTCACCAAAAATATCCAGCAACCAGCTGCTGTTCATATCCTAAAATATGCCTTCAGCTGACACTGAATATTGAAATCATTCTGCTAAAATACAGAAAAACGACGATGGTAGAAACCAAGGTATAGCCTCAGGCCAACATTAAATGGTAAAAATTCTACAATGCTACTTTTAAATCTCTTCTTCAGTTCATGAACAAATAAGCAGCCAGGTTTCAAGTAGAGGTAACACAGATTTTGGAAGATAGCACGTAAAAAAAGCCCAGAAAGAAAACTGGAACAAAAGCTCTTCTTGTTACGGCAGTCAGCACTAATCCTCCACAAAACGGCAGGGAAAAACCTGTATTCACCCTGCTGGATCTGTCCTGGTCCTACAGCAACAACGAGGAACTGCTTCTGCTGTCACAAATATGTTCCATTTGGACATATCTTGATCCCTTTTTTCTTTTATTTGTATACATGTATCTTTTGTCTTAGTCTCTTGACTGGTAGAAGAGGATATATCCAGATTCTGAGTTTTTGGAAATGTCTGATGTTAACCCATAGAATTCTTCAATGGCCTGGGCATCAATTTTCTGAAAATTAATAAGAGTTATAATTAGCCTCAGTCGAAACACCACCCTAAGAATCCCTTTCCCAGACAAGGCATTATTTTCAGTTCCTGGGGGTGATGCTGGAAAGCCACGCAGCGTCAATACAACAATACTTCAATATCATTGAATCCAACCAAATACAACAAAACATTTTTTCCACTTATTACCTTATTCCCTATTGAAAAAAAAAGGAAATCAAGATAAAATAATAAACCTGTCAGAAGTGGTGCATTCTTAAGCTGGACTATAAAAAAAAGGGATCCATGAAAACGTATGCTTAAAAGAGCACATAATTTTTATATTTGACTTCCCATTCAGACTGGCGTTTCCTTTCCTGACTATAGGTTTGTAATGTAAACAGGAAAAAAAAAAAAAAAAAGCAGTCACTGATCAGCAAAGAAGATTTTTGTACAGTCAGGAGTACATAAGGACCATCTTGGGCAGATTTAACATTCAGCTAAATGTAGAGAAGTCCTGCAAGTGCTACTGGTAATTATACCATGAAATCAGTGGATCTCATCCGATTATGATCTTCTGGTCTTACGAGAACTTTCCTTCCTTAGGATTTGCTGGCACAATGCCTACTGGAATATTATCACAAGATTTGTGTTTTAAGAGAAATACACTATTTGCCATATTAATAGAATTAAATGGTCTGCTTCTATTTAAAGCTGTGAACTATGTGCAGAAAAGCAGTTTTTCATTTTATACTCCAACCAGCAAGGCCTGTAGGGCATTTTAAAGGGCTTTTAAAGATGCAAGTTCTACAGTCTTGATCCCACTCCTGAGAATGACTGGCTTCACATTACTGAATTTGATTCTGCAGTCAGTGGAGAGCAAGCGAGGAGACCAAAACACTGAAATAAAATACTCCCAATGACCTGTATTACTCAGCACTCCACTGTGTTTTAGTATTTTAAAATACCTTTAGGACTCTGGATCCACAGAAATGAGAGGGTGAAGTAACCTGAATTTGTTGTGGAGGACCAATGGGAGACTAGCCTAAAGTTTCCCTTTATTCCCCAAGGAATAAAGTTGAGGAAGCAAAGAAATATTCAGCATACAGGAGGCTCTGGGTTGAACACCTGCTTTGATCGTGAGAGGGAGTAGCGAAGACCAATTCGTGCTTACATTTTAAGAGAAAGGGACCACGCTATGACTCCATCAAGGAGCCTCCTCAGCTACAGAATCCCTCTGGCAGTGTGCTAAATCATTGCTCACCGAACAGACTTTAGCATCACCAGCAAACACAAAAGCCTTGGTTTCTCTAAGTGGCACTGCCAAACAACCTGCAAGTTTAGGCCACCCTTTTCCCAGCCATTTTGAAGCACGAGAAAACCAGACACAGTCCGTAAGTTTCCAGAAGATGCATCAACTGCAGGACGGAGCTGCAGAAATTCCCCCTTGAATAGTTTTGTTAAACACTGTTAAAAAAAAATAGGGGGGGAAAAAAAACCCCAAACAGATGTTTTGTCTTTCTCTCTTCTCCATTCAAGGGCTTCAGAGAAGCTGAAATACCGTACTGAGGGCTTTTACATTTTCACACAATTTATTAACATAACGTCTACTAGAAACTGTTAGATACACATTTTAACAGAAAAACAGCAAAAGAACATTCTTCAGTCCTTGTAATATATTTAGCAGACAACTCAAACATGTTTTATTTTAAGTGCCAACTAACTTGCCATGCAATCAAGTCTATTTCCACTACTCATTTTGAATGCAACTCAAACATTTGCTATAGATTAATTCATCCTACAGATATTTTTAGTTTTATCACTGCAAAACTGACTTCCTTTTTTAATTTCACTATCCACAGAAAACACAGTGGAACTGAAAGAGGATCATATAGACCCTATTATTCCCACCCTTAGCTGACCACCTACATTGTGGACAGCAAAATTTTACCCAGTTGCAGCTTTAGAATAACAACCAGTTGACGGTTTCACAACTACTTTTAGGATTCTGCAGCCTCACCCGGCATTATGATGATTTTTCCCATTAACTGAGCTTAAATATCCTTTGCTCATTTCCAGACAACTGTTCTGGTTCCCCAAACCAAATCCTCTTCTCGTGTACCATTCATAGCATTCAACTGAATGCTGCAAATCTCTGAAAAAGTATTTAAGCAAAGACATACAATCATCCTCCCCCTTTTCTCAATTTGGAGAACTCCCTGGATGGACACTTCTCCCTCTCTGTTTCAGATAAACATTGTCACTGTGCTGTATCACTTAGCTGCTCTAATGACAACATGTCAAATTAGCCAGAGATCATTTACTCAGGTTCTCAGTTAATTTTGCTTGGCACGGTACCCCATTTGGACTGATTTGCCTCCTGGGTTTGATGCAGTTGCTTTTCAGATACGCCGTAGTATGTTTGATTATCATCTATCTTCAATTTAACTGACAGTTGGCCTTCCAACCAAATCCAAAGAGATAAATAAATATGACTTCACCACTTCTGACATTTAGTGAGTAAATAAGGATAAACTACTTCCTATTGACAGTTCAGAGCTATTAATTCGTATCACTTGCCAAAAATGCAACAAAGCTTTTTAACCGTATTTAAGGGGAAAAAGCTTTCTCCTACGTTCTCTTCCAGTTGCAATATCTGTATACAGCTACAACGGCTTTGGACTCATCTTTTGAAAACTAATACCTGTTTTGTTATGTAGCCAGTTCACACCCAGGATGTTAAGTTTCCAAAGCTTAAAAAAAAAGAAGAGAAAAAAATCTGCTTTCGTGTTCTTAAAGAGTTTCTGAAGAGCAGAAGGCTCCTGTGGTTAGCCCTAAAACCAGAAACTTATGCAGAATTCACATTTTAGGGGATTTGGGGCTTTGGGGGTTTTTTTGCCACTCTGTTTTTGAGGACAACCTCTGTCATGTCATACATAGCAATATATTTCCTGTGGTGTCACCTTAAGGCCAATCACAAGCAGTTTGAAAACAGTACTTGGTCAAGTTCAGAGTAGATATTTAAATTTCTTTAGGCAGCAGATGGAACTGACAAAAGGAGTTGCGGCTTTACTTCACTTTTTCAGCGAATAGCCTACAGCACTAGTAAGGAACTAATTCTCAAGAGCTGATGACAAAGCGGGGAGAGAGAGAACAGCTGAGTAAAACTGCAGCTACTTCTTCCAGCAGCCTGTAGCATCAGCAGAGGAAGAGCAGTCTCCACTATCCTGTTCTCCTTGATCACTGAATCGCCAGAAATTCAGGTGAGTTCTAGAAGGTCAAGGAAAGAGAAAGGGTGGTACTTCCTAGACAGCGGGAGGTGAGATGTAAGCTTCGTGTTCATCACACACTTCGAAGGCAGGAGCAGCTACAATGGATAGTCAGTG